AATATATAAGGTTGTAATTAAATGATCAGGAGAGGGAAATATTTAGAGAGAAGTGAGAAAGAGTCCCCAAAATTATTTAAGAGGGTCGCATTTACAAAGAAGCTTGAAGGGATTCGAATTGGAGGATGTGTTTAAAGAAGAGCAGAAGGGGTTTTATGAGAAAGGAAGTCTTTAAAGGCGAGCTGAATAACGAACCCTATTGAAATTTAAGAAAATCTCTTCAGATTTAGATATAGCTCCCGTATATAGTTTCGTCCGATTTATGGTAAATGGTGCACCAAAGCCCCTAAATATATTTCGATTTGCTCGAAATTTGGCACAGCTAACTGAATTAAGCCTAGAATGATGTGTGTTAAGTTTCGTAAAAATCGGTACAGATTTAGATATAGCTCCCATATATATTTTCGTCCGATTTAAGGTAAATGGTGCACCAAAGGCCTTATATATCTTTCGATTTGCACGAAATTTGGCATAGCGTAATGAATTGAGTCTAGAATGATGTGTGCCAAGTTTTGTAAAAATCGATTCAGATTTAGATATAGCTCCCATATATATTTTCGTCCGATTTAAGGTAAATGGTGCACCAAAGTCCCTAAATATCTTTCGATTTGCACGAAATTTGGCACAGCTAACTGAATTAAGCGTAGAATGATGTGTGCTAAGTTTCGTGAAAATCGGTTCAGATTTAGGTATAACTCCCATATATATTTTCGTCCGATTTAAGGTAAATGGTATACCAAAGTCCCTATATATATCTCGATTTCCACGCAATTTGACATGGCATACTGAATTAGGTCCATAATAATGTGTGCTAAGTTTCGTGAAAATCCGTTCAGATTAAGGTATAGCTTTTATATATCGTCCGATTTTATGTAAATTGTGCTCCAAACTTCTAATATTTGTCCGATTAACACGAAATTTTGCACATTGTTCGGTTCCTTCAAATATGCGTCGTCTGTTAGAATTTATCTGTTGAATATACCCAAAGTTTCATGTAAATTGTGCTCCAAACTCCTAATGTTTGTCCGATTAACTTTCCTTAATGGTTTTGACGTTGTAGGGATGTTATAGATCGACCAAATGAAGAATTTGTATGGATATGCTATCTAATGACATGTTTATCAAGTTGACCATTTTCATTTTACTGGTCCTTCAAAGAGTATAGAAAACATCTGAAGCCAAAGGTAGTCTTTTTGGACCTGTATCTTTAAAAGTGAATCTTTTTGGATAAACACAAAGAAGGAACGTATTTCGAGACCTATAGAAGCCGAGTTTTGGTAGGGAATAAAGGGGTTTGAATGCATCTGAAGCCAAGCGTATATTGTTTGGACTTGTTTCAAAGAAGAAACATATTTCGAGGTCTACAGAAGACCTGTTTCAGCAGAATTTCCTCATCGAAATCGCCTTTTGAGGTTATATAAACACTTTACTGAAACCCACTGTCACTGAGCGATCTTTTAATTATATAAGACCTTCCTGAGGCCTTTTAAATATGTAGAGGACCTTCCTGAAGCCTTCAAAATAATTAATAACTTCCTGAGGCCTTTTTTATGTGGTAGACCACCGTGAAGGCCTTCAATCAATAGAAGACGCATAAAAGACCTGACATATTTTGGATCTCTGTCAAAGAAGAATCATATTTCGAAGTCTATAGAAGACCCGTATGAGTAGAATTTCCTGATCGGAATGGGCTTTTTGAGTTTATATATGCAATACCTTACTTAAACCCCCTGTCGCTAAAGGTCTCCTAATTATATAAGACCTTCCTGAAGCCTTTTAAATATGTAGAGGACCTTCCTGAAGTCTCCAACATAATTGAGAACATTGTGAGACCACCCTGATGATTTTCTATCAATAGAAGACTCTAAAAAATCCATGCATACATGAAAACTTATCCTGAACCTATACAAATAGAGAAGTTTTCAAATATACTGAAATATTAAATATGTAGAGGACCTTCCTGAAGCTTTCAAAATAAGTGAGAGCTTTGTGACACCACCCTGATGATTTTCTATCAATAGAAGAATCTAAAAACCCCATGCATACATGAAGGCTTATACTAAACTTTTCCAAATATATAGAATGCCTTTTGAGACATTATTTTTTAATTTGGATACCATCCCGAAGCCACCTTATATAAAATACCACCTAAAGGTCATTTACATACAGAATATCGATCTACGACATCATGCCTGGTACTATTTACAAATAGAGAAGTTTTCAATAAAAACTGAAGGCCTTCTGATATATTTTTGTAAGACCATCCTGAGGCCTCTGTAATATAAAATTCCAACTAGAAATATTTCTAAATATATAAGAGGGCCACAAATAAAGAACTTTCTAAAAGGCACTTCTTAGAATTGTTAATTTCTTTGTGACATTTTTTACATTTGAGGGACTTATGTTTCCAGACTATTATTAGCTTTAAATCTTCATTGTCATTCAAACCCCCTCCCCTATTGTGAGATTTTCTATAGGTATACAGAAGACTTTCATGAGGTTTTATACATGTATATTACGCTTGTGTCTTCTGAATATTAAATACCACTTATCACCTTAGGGTCATTTTAAAGACATAAAGAGCTTAAGTGTCTTGAATATTACCTTCTACTAATCAACATTCTCTAAAATGACTTAACTAAGGACGTTTTTAAGATTGGTTTTTATCTCTCTGGGACACTCCAGCTGGCATTTAAATGCCTTCTCCCTCCTAGGAATTTCTATATACTCGAAATAGGTTTCAGAAACCTTCTACATATAGATCACACTGTGATGTTCTTTTTCAGAGACTTTCTGAAGATCCATCTAAGTTTTTTTACCATTCAACCTCTCATTCAATCTATGCTACCAGTAAACCTTTCCTAATATTCTGTAAACGTCTGTAGAAGAAATTTCTGTCTAAATATTGAATTCCATCTTGAGATCGTCTATATATCGAAATCCTCTGTAGTAGGACTTTTCCAGAGCCTTAAAAAGTAGTCAGTTTTCTTCAAATATGAAGAATTTCTGTGTCCCGAATATTGTTAGCAAAAAAATTATATTTATTAGGACCTCCCATTAATACCCTCCTCCTTCTTCTCATTTCTCTCCCCTTATCTTTCCCTACCTTTTCATAATGTCGCATTTTCTGATTGGAGGAATTTTCATTTGCCATTGTAGCCCTACCCACCCTTTGCCTTGTTAATAATGTTTGTTAATGTTTTCCACCACGCTGAACATGCAAACCATAACAACATGTTTCATTCGATGTTTTTTTGTCTTCCTCTTCTTCTCTTAAATGTTTACACAAGCGTGAAATTCCTTAGAAAAGTTCATTTTGCTGTTCGTTTGTTGTTGTTCGATTTTTTCCTCGCTATAACTCCGCCTCCAGCCAGATCATTTATGTCCACACAGATGGTAACACACCACATTTCACAACGGGAGGTCTTTTTACATAACACATTACAACAAATAGCAGTTACAACAACAACATCAGCAGCAACAACAACAATAATAAGACCACAAAATTTATGTACTCGAGAATATAATCCTCCTCAATTGAATTAAATCTAAATGTCATTATTAGTCTCGAGGGTATAGTTCTGCAGTTTTGTAGTTATATTTGGTTAAGGTATTTTGTCGGAGTACCCTGCAAGAGGTACTATGCGGCAAGGATTCATGAATGAAAATGAGGGAGGCATATACTTTAAGGAGAGGAGCTGAAAGAAAGCTGGAGGGAGATTTACAGAAGAGCTGAATCTTTAGAGACAAGGTGAAGGTAGTCTTTATGGACGAGCTGGAGGGATTCTTTGGAGAACTTGAGGGAGTCCTTAAAGACCAGCAGGAGGGAGTATTTATAGACGAGCTGGAGGGAGGCTTTATAGGCGGGAAGAAAGGAGTCTTTATAGAAGGGCTGGAGCGAGTCTTTATAGACGTGCTGAAGGGCGTCTTTCATAGACGAGCTGAAGGGAGTCTTTCATAGACGAGCGGCCATAGGCCATATTTGCATTCAACAAACTTTTCCGAACCACAGAAAAGATCTGGAGGGAGGCTTTATATAGAGAATCTTTATAGGTCAGCTGCAGGATAGCTTTAGAGGAGATTGAGAGAGTCTTTAGAGATGAACTGGAAGGGGACTTTATAGACGAGCTGAAGGGAGTCTTTCATAGACGACCTGAAGGGAGTGTTTCATATACGAGCTGAAGGGAGTCTTTCATAGACAAGCTGAAGGGAGTCTTTATAGACGGCAGAAGGGATCTCTGAACTGAAGGTTTCTTTATAGACTGGCTGGAGGAAGTCTTTATAGACGAACCAAGGTTACTGGAGAGAGTCTCTATCAACGAACTGAAAGTAGTCCTTATAGACGGGCAGGAGGTTATCTATATTGACGAGCTATTTGAAGCCTTTATAGCGAACTGGAGGAGTATCTACAGACTAGCCAGGAGGATTTTTATATAACATATGTCATCCATATTTATAGGGGATTTAGAAAGAGTCTTTATAGATGAGGGGGAATCAATTCCATAAATTGAAGTGCCATCAAAGTTCGGTTCGATTCGTTCAAAGTTTTTTTCATTATTTTCTTACATATTACTGTTATTGTTGTTGTTATTAAAACTCATTAAAATGTTAACTTTTCCTTTATGGTATGCTTTGATTCATTTTACCCATATGCATCTGTATGTATGTATCTGTGTGTGTGATTGTATTAAACCATAACTAATCACATAAATTAATAACATTTGGTGTTGGTGTTGTGTTTCATGTTGTTGTTTTTTTCTGCATTTTTTTCTACCATTTTAAATGCCAAAATTGTTCGACTCCATGAGATTCCAAAAAAGATTCCCTGGAAGCCTCTATGCAATAGAAGAAATATTATAGAAACAGATTGGATTGGTTTCGAACAAAAAAAAAAAATAGAAAAAAACTTCAATTTTTATTCCATTATAACTTCATTGTATTTATGGGATGTTCGTTTCGTTTACTTACATTTTTGTTGTTTCTTTATTGGTCTCTTACAGGTGCAGCATTTAACACCAGCGCCAATTTACAAGAAGAACGTGCAGCAGCACCACCAGCAACAACACCGACCACGACACCCACAACTGCTACAAGTGGGATAGTAGTAGTGGCGGCGGCGGCGACAACGTCAAATTCTGATTTAACAACGGCAGTAAATACAAGCACAACAACAACTACAATACCTTTGAATAGAAGTTCACCCAGTAAGACATCAGGAACAGCAACAGCAGCAACAACTACACCACCGAAGATCTCAGCAATAACAAATGCAAACACGGCTGTAAGCAACAAAAACAACAATAACACAGCAACAACAACAATACAGAGCAATAGCAACAACAACCACAATCGCAATAAAATTTTACAAATAAAAATCGAAAAGCAAACGGAACAAACAGCAGCGACATCGCCAATCGTTAACCCAACAACAGCAGGGGCAGCAACAACAACATCCATATCAATTTCTAGCGTAAAGTCTTCTCCTTCTGGCTCCTCCTCAGCATTGGTCTCCTATTCCACGGCCTCTAATAGATCCCTAAGCAATAACAACAGCAACCACAACAATAATAATTCGAAGACACGTCTAGCGAACGTTACAACCACCACAAGCATGTTACTATTGCAACCAAATGTAAGTCCAAATTTGTTTGTACCCAAATTCAAAATTTTTATTCAGAATGCAGTGCACCAAGGCTTCAGAAGGACTTTTGAACTAGAAAAAAGTTATTTTAATATATAGAATACTAAAGCTAATCTCTGTAGACGAACGACAAGGTGCCTTCTAGGAAGAGCACAAGGGCTATTGAATAAAAGCTGTGAAAGGAATTTCTATAGAAGTGCTGCAGGAAGCCTGTATAGATATACTGAAGGATCTATTTTTTATAAAAGCTGAAGTCATCTATCCAGCATAAAATATATTTTTTAAAACCAGCTGAAGGAAGAATTTTATAGACCTACACCTCCCCGCTCCTCTGTCTCGCTTCTGCTCGCTTGTCTACATAAACTCCAACCGGACTGTCTAAAACTAAAAATGCTCCCTTACTAGACTAACTCCGGCTCCTATAAAAATATTCCTCACCAGCTTGTCTAAAAAGTCTCCATATTCTAGTATTTTCTTTCTCTCGTCTATAAAGACTTCCTTGCTCCCGTCTATATGGGCTCTTTTTGCGCTCGTCTATCGAAACTACTTTCAGCTCGGAATTCCTTATAAAAGATCTGGAGAGAATATCTGTAGGAGTGGTGCATGGAACCTCTATAGCTGAGCGATACAGACTCTCTATTGACGAACGGTCGGGAGTCTTTATAGACGAGCAATATGGAATATCTAAAGGGTGTCACTATAGACGATAGGCAGGTATACCTATGGACCAGCGTAAGTGAGTCTATATTGCAAGCCAAATGGAGTCTGTATATATGATCCAAAAGGAAAAAAAGCGAGTGGAAGGGGGTTTCTATTGAAGACAGTGTTGCCAAAACTTTGTTGAGGAAAAATGCTAGATTTTGTTGGAAAAAATGCTAGAAAGTGCTAAATAATTTAAAAAAGTGCAAGAAAAAAGTGCTAAAAATTTCTTAAACAAAATTGTTAATATTTAATAATGAAATATTAATCAGAAACCCCATTTATTCTTAACGGCTATTCGTTGTCGATTTAGCCATGTCCGTCGCATTGAGGACGCAATATTGAAGACAGAGCTTTGGAATTTTGCACATACGTTGGTACCATTTCTATAAGATTTGATATTGGAAATGGAATATATCGGTCCTTTTTGGGTACACCATACCCCAATATTTTTTTTAAGCTTTTAGGCACATTTTTATACCTTTCACCATAGTATGGAGGGTATATTAATTTTGTTTTTCGTTTGTAACTCATCGAAATAATCATTTCCGACCCTATAAAGTATATACATTCTTGATCACCGTTAAATTCTATGATGATATAGTCATGTTCGTCTGTCCGTCTGAGGACAATTTGGTACATTGAGTTCTTATTGGGTAGCAAATATCTCCACTAAAAATTATAAATAGGGGTCCATATTTTCGGATACCCCCCATATAAGGGCACCCCCCAATTTTCAGTAGTTTAGGGTTCATGAGCGCGGTTTTCAACCGAATTCGCTGAAATTTGGTACATTGAGTTCTTATTGGGTACCAAATTTCCCTACTTAAAATTATAAATATAGGTCCATTTTTTTCTGGTTGCTCCCATATAAGGGTACCTCCCAATTTCCAGTTTTTGGGTGATTTTAACTTAATTGGCTGTAATTTAGTACTTTGAGTTCTTATTGGGTAGCAAATCTCTCCACAAGAAATTATAAATATGGGTCAATTTTTTCGGGTAGCCCCCATATAACGGTACCCCAATTTTATGAGAAATTATTAATATGGGTCCATATTTAGGGGTAGCCCCCACAGTACATTCCCTTTATTCGACATTTTGGGGACTTCGGACACGTAACCGAATTGACTAAATTTTTTCTATTTTTTGTTTTGATGGGGTTTGAAATCTTCCTACTAAAATATAAATACTAATAATGCCCAAATTTGGTTAAGGTAAATAACTGTAATTTCACATTGCGTACAAATATGAAGATTATCAATTTTCTTCCCATTTGTGTACTTTTAAGGGTTCATAATCTCATTCTCAACAGCGACTTTAATATAAAAAATATGTTTCCCGGAATTTTTCTATTTTGGTCCTTATTCTGGCACAATCCCAATATAAATGGGTATGCTTGCCTTTTCGGTAATCTAAAGTAGTTATAACTTGGCATTCAGGATTCCCGCTGAATAAAAAAACTTGTTTTTAGAAAGTTCCAACATAATTCATGTTCATTATTTTTACATCGCTCTCATAAAATGTACAACTTAATTTGGATTTTCATTTTCGCAAATAAACAGTCTACCAACAGACAATATCATAGTGCTGGATAGCATTGGAAAATCAAATCCATCGCGTGAAACATAGCGAAAATTCAACATGAAATCGAAAAACGGGATTTTTTGCATTGAAACCAAAATTTTGTAAAAAAAATTCCTAAGAAATTAAAAATGCTAAAAAAAGTGCTAGATGCTAGATCGATTTTTTTGGTGCTAAAAGTGCTAAATCTAGCACTAAAGTGCTAAATTGGCAACACTGATTGAAGAGAAGCAGGAATTCTCTATAGACGGAGTCTTTGCGATCCCCACGTTGAGCGCCAATTATTGTAACGAACAGGCTCACCTATAAAAACTTCATTCCGCTCGTCTATGAAGACTCCTTTCAGCTTCCCCTCCGCTTGTTTATGAAGACTCTCCTCATCTCGTCTAAAAGACTTCCAATAGCTAGTATCTAAATACTCCCGTACGGTCGTCTGTAATCCTCCAAACAGATCATCGACAAATATTCCCATCAGTTCGTTTATAATTAAATCATCCGTCTCGTCAATCAAGGCTGACTTCAGCTTGTCTAAAAAGACTCCATCCAATTAGTCTAAAAATGTTATATTTTATGAAAACTGTAAAGGAGAAGGACCCCACGTTGGGCTCCACATTCCTCCTATCAGATAATCAGACAAATATTTCCATCAAATCGTCTTTAATTAAATCATCAGACACCTCTATCAAGACTCCCTTCAGATTATTTTAGAAGATTCCTCCAATTCGTAAAAAGACCCCGTCCGCCTTTTCAAAAAAGAGTACTTCCGGCACTCCTAAAACGATTTAAGGGAACCCCCCCCCCCCCCCCCCATTCTGCTTGTTAAGGTTTGTAACTTGGCACATATATAATTGAAGATTTAAAAGAGAAGAAAAAAATTTACAACAAAATTTTGTTATTGTTTTGTTGTTGTTTTTTGTAATTAAAGAAAAGTCCTTATTTTTGATGGCGGGCATGATAACTCCTCGATGGAACATCGGAATCCGAAAATTCCAACGGTGTTAGAAAGAGTACATGTCTGGCTCTCGTATGAACTAGGATTATTGGCTTCGCTCTAAAATTAACAAAATGGTGGAGCTTTGAACAAATATCACCGATTTTTGACAAAAAAACAAGTTAAAAAATAAGGAAGATCTTCACCGATTGGCTTTATCCTACTTCATACGAGAGCTATACACTCCCAGAGAAACGTTACAAAATTTGGAAACGATTGAATTATTAGTTTTTGAGTTATCGTGCCCGCCATTCGCAAAAAAATGTTTAGAGAAAAACGCGATTAAAGTTTGAGAAGCCCTTCAGCCGTCACTTGATGCGGACACAATAAATCGGATATATCTTCAAGAGTTCTTGAGATTTTCACTTGAAATTTTGTAGAGACATTCTTTAATCAGTTTAGATTCAAATTATGTCAACAAAAATTTTGACCCCGAGAATGGGGGGGGGGGTCCCCTTAAGCTCTAAATATAACTCCCTACGGTTACTTCATACTCCCTACGGTTACTTTTCGAGGCCCACGATGGGCCTATAAAGACCCTCTCGGCCTTTTCTTAAAAAAAACTCCTTCTAAAATGACTTCAGCTCGTTTATAAAAACATGTCCCTAAAGACTTCCTTTCGGTTTATCTATAAAGACCACCTCCACTTCGTCTATTGAGACTCCCTGCTGTTCGTCAATTAATTTCCATCCACATCGGGATTTCTAAAAAACTCTATTCGGCTATCCTACAGATAATCTCCCAGATCGTACACGGAGACTACCTCCTGCTTCTCATAAAAATACCTGCTCTTCAATAAAGAATCTCCAAATCTCCTATAAAGACCCTTTCGGTCTTTAAAATAAACTCCTGCCTACTCTTCTAAAATGACAAATACTCTGTCCTACTCCTCCCTATCTAAACAGACTCGGCTAAAAAGACTCCCCAACATCTGGTCTAAAATGGTTTCTTATCCAGAAAGTCTTATGTCCAGAAAGTCTCCATCTGACTAGAAAATCTCCCTCGGGCTCTAAAAAGTCTCCATCTGGTTCGTCTAAAGAGACTCCCTCCGGCTCGTATACTTCTGTGTTTTAAAGACTTCCCTCAGCTTGTCTATTAAAGTTCAAACCAGATCGTCTATAAATACCCCGTCCCACTCGTCCAACTCTGCTCTAGAAAGACTTCATTAAGCTCTTCTTAGAAGCTAATGGAATTAAAACATCTTCCAACTCGTCTATAAAGGCTCCTAAAAACTCCCTTCTGGCTATAAAGACTCCCTTCAAGCCCTCTATAAAGACTTCATCTGATTCCTGCAGGTTGTCTAAAAAAATCAATTTTGCTCTTCTAAAAATATATTCTCCGGTTCTTCTAATAAGGCTCACTTCAGCTCTTTTATAGAAACACCCTTCAGCTGATCCATAGATCTCCTTAGCTGAGGCAACCTAAATTAGTTTCGCTTCTAGATCTACAGAGAGCCTTTAATTATTTCATGTCGCACAAACAATTACCTTAAATTATGATTTATATTATCATGCCAAATTTTACTTTGCCAAAATCTCCTCTTCTTCTTCTTCCACCTCTTGTGATTTTGCAAAAAACATAGGACAATGACAACAACAAACATTGTCATAACAATACTTTACTAATTACATTGCTATACGCTAAAGATGACACCTTAATGGCCATGCGGACAAATGACAATAGAGGTACCATTAACCGCAACCAATCAACAAATTATCGCCCAATGAAAACAAACAACACCTTCTTCAAAGAAGAAAAAACAATGTGTGTGTGTTTGTTTGTCTGTCTGTAGTTGGGAAAACCGTGAAAACTCAAAATCGAAGGGGGTTGTTGGAAAACCTCAGTCGTCTAAAGCCATACTGTTAACCTAACTGAAAACTTAATGGGCATATAAAAAATTCATTACCATGAATAAGTTAAACGGTGGTGCACAAAAAGAAGAAGAAGAGGTATTGCCGGTAAAGAAGTACATGAGGAGAAGAGGGGTGTCCTGACAGCCAACCAATAACTGCCAATCATATTTAGTTACCCGTTCTCTGGCGCAAACCGAACGCAATGCGAATGACAAAAGCGCGCATGTCTAATGGCCGAAGCACAGTATCTCCTCCTAAAAAGCCTTGCTATTTTTGGTTCCACTGCACTTTCGGTTTCAATTGCGTACAATCGTTTTTTTTTTCATTTATTTGCAGAGTAGCGTTTCTTTGAGTTTTTGTCTAATTTTAGTCTTTTTTCAACTGCCTTCCATTGCAGAACACTTTCGGTACTCTTTCTCCGTTTGATAGCTTTTCCTCGCAAACTGGCAATCAACACCATCAGACGGCACAACATCAACAGCAGCAACAACAACAACATCAGCACCATCAGACGGCACAACATCACCAGCAGCAACATTCGCATCATCATCAGCATCACCAACATCACAGTGCAGCAGCAACAACAGCAACGTTGGCTGGCAACACCACTTCTCATCACTTATCGGTGGCCACCGAAGATCACTTAATCGGCAATCTAACCGATACCACCACCTCCGAACATTCAGAGTTAATTGATCACACCTTTAATCAGCTATCCGATTTATTTTTTCCTACCGATTCGAATCAATCGTTGCTGTCACCAACCCTGGATAGTAATCCCAGTCGAGAAGCAGACTCCTCAACGCAACACAATCAGCCCCAACAGCACCACCACAATCAGCAGCATCATCATCATCATCACCACCACCATCAGCATAACCAGTTACAGGATCTCCATTCGTCGTGTGAAACCCTTGTGGGTAGTAGTGAGGATATCACTTCGTCCCTTGAGAATCTAACAAAATTAACGTGCCTCCGTGAAAAACGTCTATCATCGATACCCGAACAACATAGTGTACGAACTGCGAATTCGGAAGCCGATCATAACTCCTCGTTGTGTTTTGATCGTTCAACGCCACAGGAAATTGGTTTACTGAGTTTACGGTCAAGCAGTGATCCAGCCATAGCCTTACATACCCTACAAGAACGCCAGCAAACTGCAGGTGGTGGTACCACAAGAGGAGGAGATCCTTTACTATCACCTCTGGGTGGGCCATTATCCCTGCCCAGTTTCGAAGAAACCTATTCGCTCAAATACGGAACAACAACACCCACAGGTTCGGCCAGTACCGTTTCGGCCAGTGATCTACAAATAAAAATGGATGAAGATTGTTTCCCGCTCAACACCTCGTCGGGAGAGGGTATTGGTGGTCCGGCATTAAATCAGGCTCAATCACATCATCAGCACCATCTACACAATCAACAACAGCAGCATCACCATTCTCAGCTAGGTAACAATCACAATAGTTTATTGGGAAATCCGCAGCAGCAACAATCGACGCAACAACAGACCCATCTTCCACAGCAGTCCCACCACCACCAACATCATCCGGCCCAGCAGCAGCAACAACAGAATTCCAATAATTTCAGTTATCATGGCCATTTTAATGCCAGCACAACACCAGCCTCCTCCACATCGTCGGTCTCATCATCGCCCTATGAATTCACCAATGGCAATGAGACTTCGGGAAGTTTTAATGCCACCACAACGGGAGAGAATTTCTATCATCAGTACCATCTCAATACGCAACCAAATGTAAGTAGTAAAAATATCGTTTTTCATATCCTTGCGGGAACTGGGAAGGGGAACTTCTACAAAAGAATCAGGAAGAAGCTCTTTAGAAGAGCCAGGGCAGTCTCTATAGAAGAACTTAAGGGAGTCTCTATCAGCAAGCTGCTGGGTGGCTCTATAGACGAGCTGAAGGTTGTTTTAATATAAAGACGCGCGGAAGAAGTAGATCTGGAGTTGTTTTATAGACCTATTGGGAGCGTTCATAGGTTACGGAGAATCTCCATAGGCGAGCTGAGAGAGTCTCTATAGACTGGAAGACAGTAGAGAAGATGAAGGAAATATTTTTATAGATCTGAGGAGAGTCCCTATAGAGTCTTATAGAAGTGAGTCTTTATAGTCGATCCGAAGGGAGTATTTGGGAGGGCTTGTATAGCTGAAAGGAATATCTACAGACTAGCGAACATGAGTCTATAGAGAGGAATATAGACTCTATCGGAAGAGAGTCTCCAAACAGAACCTACTCTCTATAGACTGAAGTGACCTGAATGGAGTACCTATAGACTACCTGTGGGAGTCTGTATTGGCTACCTTAAGGGAGTCTCTATTGACCTCCTGAATGGAGTCTCTATTGACTACCCGTAAGGAGTCTATATAGACTACCCGTGCTGCTGGTCTCCCAGCAAGTCTTTAAAGTCTTCAGGACAGTTTTTAAAGGCGAACTGACGAGCCCTTATAGAAAACCAGGATTTAGTTCTTATAGATGAATATGAAGGGGCTTTAACAAATTACATAGCAGTTTTCATAATCGATCTGTATGCAGTCTTTATAGACGAGCTGAAGAGAGTCTCCATAGACTAGCGGACAGGAGTATCTATTCAGGAGCAGAATATAGGCTCTATAGAATACCTGAAGGGAGTCTCTATGTTGAGGGCCGTCTTTATAAGCGGTTTAAGGGAAGTGTTTAAAGGCGAACTGACTAGCAAGGGAGATTCGTAATAGACGAGCAAGAGGGACCCCTTTACAAGAGCAGAAGTTGGTTTTTAAATAGGAGCATGAAAGAGGTTTTATAGGCGAGTTGCATATAGTTTTTTTAATACGAACAGTATGGCGATTTTACACAAGAGCAGGGTGTACAAATGCCTATAAAAGTCCTTCCTGTATCAGCTTGCTTATAGAGCTTATAGATTAACGAAGTCATGAACTCTAGCTATCAAATTAATCTGCGATTTCATTCTACTTCTCCTTTCCAGAACTACCATTCATCGACAGCGGAACGTTACAGCCTTCCAACATTTCCCACCATGTCCGAATTGGAAGCGGCCACAGCTGTGGCATCTGCTGCCGCCTTGGCACCATTGCGACGTGCCTCTCTACCCGTCAATCGTTCCGAATCTCCGCTCAGCAATCATAGTCCAAAGCTTCCTAAATTGGTAATAGGTTCCACGAATTCGACACTGCATCACAAGCATACACATTCACAGCTGTCAAGTGCACCAAGTTCCGCCTCGAATTCTCCCAGTGTACGACAACAGACAGCAACTCCGATTCTACACCATCACCAAATGAATCAATCCGCCGCATCAGATATGCTTAATGGTCGGGTTATACCCACCCCGCCGTCTCAGCTGTGTGCCGTGTGCGGAGATACGGCCGCGTGTCAACATTACGGTGTTCGCACCTGTGAAGGTTGTAAGGGCTTCTTTAAGCGTACCGTCCAAAAAGGTTCCAAATATGTTTGTTTGGCCGATAAAAATTGTCCCGTCGATAAACGGCGTCGTAATCGCTGTCAATTTTGTCGTTTCCAAAAATGTCTAGCCGTCGGTATGGTGAAAGAGGTGGTGCGCACCGATTCGCTAAAGGGCAGACGTGGTCGATTGCCCTCAAAACCAAAATCTCCACAAGAATCACCACCCTCGCCACCAGTGTCACTGATAACAGCATTGGTGCGTTCTCATGTCGATACCACGCCAGATCCATCTTGCCTTGACTATTCCCAATATCGTGAACCTAGCCAAGAGGATTTGCCGTTGGTAATGAGTGAAGCGGAAAAGGTACAACAATTCTATAATCTCCTAACCACATCGGTGGATGTTATAAAACAATTTGCTGAGAAAATACCCGGCTATTCGGATCTCACACCAGAAGATCAAGAATTATTGCTGCAATCTGCCTCCCTGGAATTGTTTGTATTGAGGCTATCGTATCGTGCCCGAATCGATGATACCAAAATGACATTCTGTAATGGCATTGTTTTGCATCGCAGCCAATGTCAACGTTCCTTTGGCGATTGGCTGAATGGGATTTTGGAGTTTAGCAAAAGTCTTCATAGCCTAGAAATTGACATATCTGCATTTGCGTGTTTGTGTGCTCTGACACTGATAACGGGTGAGTATGGGGCGAGAGGGGGAATAGGGAAGTCAGGTTTTATAGGGGAATATGACGGAGACTTTTTAGAGAAGCTGTGGGAGAATTTAAAAACAAGCAGGAGGAGAGTTATAGACGAGCGCAAGATTGTCGTTATAAGAGAGCGGTAGGGGGTCTTTATAGAGAAGCGAAAAGAATGATTTATAGTTGATGTAGAGGTAACATTTATAGGCAAGCTGAAGAGAGCCTTTATAGGTGAGCTGAAGGGAGCCTTTATTGGTGAACTGAAGGGGGTCTTTATAAGCGAGCTGATGGGAGCCTTTATAGGCGAGTTGATGGGAGCCTTTATAGGCGAGCTGATGTGAGCCTTTATAGGCGAGCTGATGGGAGCCTTTATAGGCGAGCTGATGGGAGCCTTTATAGGCGAGCTGATTGGAGCCTTTATAGGCGAGCTGATGGGAGCCTTTATAGCCGAGCTGATGGGAGCCTTTATAGGCGAGCTGATGTGAGCCTTCATAGGCGAGCTGATGGCAGCCTTTATAGGCGAGCTGATGTGAGCCTTCATAGGCGAGCTGATGGCAGCCTTTATAGGCGAGCTGTTGGGAGCCTTTATAGGCGAGCTGATGTGAGCCTTCATAGGCGAGCTGATGTGAGCCTTCATAGGCGAGCTGATGTGAGCCTTCATAGGCGAGCTGATGGCAGCCTTTATAGGCGAGCTGATGGGAGCCTTTATAGCCGAGCTGATTGGAGCCTTTATAGGCGAGCTGATGGGAGCCTTTATAGGCGAGCTGATGGGAGCCTTTATAGGCGAGCAGAAGGGTACATTTATAGGCGAGCAGAAGGGTACATTTATAGGCAAACTAAGGGGAGCCATTATAGCGAGCTGAAAGGAGCCTTTATGGGCGAAGTTGGAAGAAGTAGACGAACTGGAGGAAGTCTTTATAGACGAGTCGGAGGGAGTCGACTATATAGGCGAGCAAGATGATTTTTTTATAGAGGGCCAGTAAAGGGTTTTCACAGAAGAGTAGGAGAGAGTTTTTAGAGAATAGCCGAATAGAGCCTGGATTCTCTCTATAGGTCTTTCTCTATCACCAGTATAATTTTTTAAATATTTTTCATCTCCTATCTTTTCAGAACGCCACGGCCTGCGGGAACCGAAAAAAGTCGAACAGTTACAAATGAAAATTATTGGCAGTCTGCGGGATCATGTCACCTACAATGCTGAGGCTCAAAAGAAACCCCATTATTTCAGTAGACTATTGGGCAAGTTACCTGAATTGCGATCACTTAGCGTACAAGGTCTACAACGGATATTCTATTTGAAATTGGAAGATTTAGTGCCAGCACCAGCCCTAATTGAGAATATGTTTGTGGCCAGTTTGCCGTTTTAAACGTACAACCAAAATCCCATTCATTCTCACAGAAAAATCCTTTCCTTCTATTTCCCTTTCTCTCTCTCTCTCCCTATCTCTCTCTCTCTTTTAAGGTTATTTAAAAAATAAATTGTAAATTATTATTATTAAATTTTTTATTTAGAAAAAAATCGATCCTAACTAAACAAAAAATTTAATTTAAATATTGTATTTTAAAACAAAAACAACAACAACAACAACATTATTTATAACTTGAAAAGAAAAAGAAAACATAGTGTAATTATTTTCTCTCTTAGCCATAAGTAAGTTTATAATTATTAGGTACGTTATTCGAATAAGAAATGTTAATTATTTTTGTTTTATTTTATTTTTTCATAAATAATGTTTATTTGCTCTCGATTTTTACTTAATTTTGTTTTTAAATATTTTTTGTTCGTTTTATTTCATTTGTTATGTTATTTGAATTATATCTATGGAATAAATTTCCTTAGACTTTTGAAATTGCTCACGTTTTTGTTTTCTTTTATTTGTTGGTTAGGTTTTGGGCTTATTGGATTATGTTATATTTTTCTGGCAATCCTACCATCATTGTCCTTATTTTCAAATATTAACACATTTAATATGCAAGTTATTTTCTAAAAAAACTTGACATAAATTTTAAAAAATTAAATCCCTGTCGTAATAGTCGCCCGGTTATCAAATCAAAATTTAGACATGAACATGAGACTGTTTATCTAAAAATGTTTAAGAATAACGTGGAGACCACACGAAAACATAAATCAATTGTAATGATAAATCAATTTTAGATATGGAACTACTACTACTAAACCGATGTATTCATTGGACAATTTTTATGGTTAAAAGAAAATTCTAAATTATATGTGCGTAATGGTTGAGAAATCGATTTTCCTGAATATGGTTCAGAAATCGATTTTGGAATATTTTAATCCTCAAAATATTCCAAATTTCGGCATTTTCTGGAGTTGGATCACGATTTTCCACCAAAATGGCTCTAATATGACTTGGGTGTAAACATTTTTTGCAATAATATTTCAATAATTAGAAAGTTATAAAAAAATACAAACACGTTCTTATTTTCTACTATAACTGCGGAACCTAATTTGATCGGAAAAGAAAAATCGAGAAAATCCGATTCTGAACCACTGTAAGACATCTACTTTACAATTATAATGGACAGACGGACACACAGCTAGATCCGTTCAGGCGATAAGTGCGGCCGTTTCTCTCAATTGAAGATATAACTTCTTTGATCTCACTAAATTATTAGGAACCAGTGTGCCCTGCGTACCAGTGTTATTTATGCCCTTGTGCATATGTTTGTAACAGGCAAAAGGAATAGAGATAGACCCATGGTTCCTTTTGATAATATGCATAGAATCATTTTCTGAGTCGATTTATGCATGTCCGTCCGTCCGTCTGTTGATGTTAAATTGTAAACAAAGTACAGGTCGGACGAACCCTATTGAAATTGGAAAAAACGGTTCATTTTTAGATATAGCTCCCATATATATTTTCGTCCGATTTAAGGTAAATGGTGTACCAAAGTCCCTATATATCTTTAGATTTGCACGAAATTTGGTATAGCCTACTGAATTAGGTCTAAAATGATGTGTGCTAAGTTTCGTGAAAAATGGTTCAGATTTAGATATAACCCCCATATATAGTTTCGGCCGATTTTAGGTAAATGGTGCACCAAAGTCCCTGAAAATCATTTGATTTGCACGAAATTTGGCAAAGCGTACTACATTAAGTCTAGAATGATGCGTGCTAAGTTTCGTGAAAATCGGTTCAGATTTAGATATAGCTCCCATATATAGTTTCGCCCGATTTTAGGTGAATGGTGTACCAAAGTCCCTATATATCTTTCGATTTGCACGAAATTTAGTATAGCCTACTGAATTAGGTCTAGAATGATGTGTGCTACCCCTCGGCAAACAATGCCATACATTCCCCACTAATAAATAGTTTTTTTTTGGGATAGGTGTGGTATTGTTTGTAAATGCCTTGTTAACCTCGAGGTGAGGCTCCAGCGAAATTTTCATGCAGTTTACGTCGTTGGTCAGCTAAGTACTTCGCTTTGTTACAAGAGACATTTGGGTATGAAAGGTTTTTTGTATAGAAGCAATAGCTTCTGGGGAGAATATCCCAACAAAAAACTAAGGGAACTGATGAGGATCAGTGGCGTGATCCGAAACTATAGTCTTCCCTGCCTTACCCCTCGACAAGCAATGCCATACATTCCCCACTAATAAATAGATGTTTTTTATAAAAACAACAAACTGGGATTCAGCCTGGCTATTTTGCAAAAACAAAATACAAATGGTATCCCAAATAAACCGCCAACACTACTATATTGTTTATAAATCTTTTTAAGGCAATTTTCTCTTTCGTGTCGGGACTAATGATCGAAGTTTTGCAAAGGAAAGGAAAACCAATAATAATATATAGCCATCATCACTAGGTTAATAGACACATATACTGGGTGAGATAAAAAACTGCAATGAAACCGTCACACGCTGCCCGAATGTTGCTCTGCGGTATTTTGGCCCATTGCCGGCGAAGCGCTTGCCTGAGGTGATCGACATTTTGATATTTGTTAGTGCCAACCTTGCTTTTCATAATACTCCAAACACAGTAGTCCAACGGATTGGTATCCGGAGATTTTGGTGGCCATTGTGCGCTGGAAATGAAGCGAGCAACCTCATTTTTTAACCATTCTTGGGTTTCCAAGATCTGCGGGCAAAATGTTTGCGTGCCCAAACATTTTGGCCGCAGATTATTTTCGCTATAATATTCGGCATTTATTCTGATGCCACGGTCTATTAATACGAACGGAGAGCGACCATCGGCTGATATGGCAGCCCACACCATCACCATGACCGGCGCTTGAGTTCTGGTGACCAACCGAAGGTCCAAATTTTCAGCTGACCGCTTTGGCATGTAACACGATCATATTGTTTGTTTACAAACTGCTGGACAACGAATGTTTTCTCGGAGAAAATTTTTCAACACTTTCCTGCACATTTTCGAATTTCAATGGCTTTACCCCGAGCTCATATTTCAATATTTGGAGAATGGAATATTGCGATATGTTCAGATCACGAGCCATTTTTAGCCACTGCGACGGGGGTTTCGATGAAGTCAATTCTTTACTTTTCGCAAATTCTCACCAAAATACTTTTGTACGCTTGTAAACAATAAAATGAGCTGTCAGTGGAATAATTTTAACAGCTTTGTCGGACGAGTGGCTTAGAAATGACAGCAGTCTGAAGTTGGTTGCAGTTTTTTCATCTCACTCTGTATACATCATAAAATCATAGTGCGTTTGATCAACTAAAAATCTCGATTCTATGCTTTTGGAGAGTTTCTATTCCTAATTTTGGATTTATTATGTGAATACAATTTTATTTATGAAAATTGACATATTTATCATCCTACCAAACCGTTTATATCTGAAATCACTGTATCTGAAATATTTAAATAAAGATTCAAAAACAGCACTTCACTATATGATGAACATGATGTCGTAACTCACAGTTATGGTTTTAAGAAAATGCGGCATACCCCTAATATATGTGTCTGATTATACCCTACACAGCTATGTTGTCAGGCTATTACAGCTTTATGTGGCACCAAAAGACCAAACTTTAATTATACCAATAGTCATATTTTGACTAGCTGAGCTTTTGTCTGTTGTTCTGGTCGGTCTGGAAGCCAATGAAGGTATGAGACCAGAGATCACATATTCTGGGCATAATTAGAGCAGGGAGTTTTGAAATGATTAAAAAAAAATAAAAAATTGATTTCCTAGCAGTATTTAAAACGAAACTAGCATAAACTCGTTGTTTTATCCATTAAAGGCTTAAAAATATGGCAAACATTAATTAAAAAACAGAATAAGGGGATACGTTTATATGGGGCCTACCCCGATGCTTAAGTCAATTTTGATAATTTTTGGTACATGCCAATAAGATTTGAAAAGTACAATTTGGTTAAAATTGATCATTTTTGGTTAGAATATTCGCTGCGACCCCAAAATATCGAATTATAGCCAATTTTGTTGAAGGTGAGACTAAAATCCTTCAATTCTATCACCACCATACTATGATATTAATTGTCAATTTTAATTTTTTGTTAATTATTTACATTTCCATTTTCTACGACTATTTTGAAAATATCGGCAATAACTCTTAAGTTTATGAATGGCGGCACACGGTCGCAAAATTCTGGATAGAAAACATATAAAGGCCAAGTGGTGGTATAATCATTAAAATATCCTCTGGCACTGTTTGGCACTAGGTTCTGGAACTCAAATATATTGGCACATCTCATTTTTCAAATATACATTTTATTCAGAAATATATGAAATTTTGCTGGTGTAAAGCTCAAAGTCGCCAGATTTGAAATATATAACGCTTTTTCCTCTCTACCTGAAATGGATATATTTTTCCTGGCCCATAGTGCGGAGTGTATATAATTAAATATTATGTTTAACTATCCCACAACATATGAAACCTAATGTTCCCAATAATTTAATGAATTTGGAAGGCACATAATATGGTGGAGGTAAAAAGTTGAAAATACTTGTTAATTTGCCTTAAATTTTGCATTCAACTAACTAAATTTCAATAATTACACTATGCAACAATATTTATTTTGGCATTGAAAGTTCATGGCAATGGGATTTATTCCCAAACAAACGAAAATAAAAAATCCACGAAAATAGTTTTTGAAACCGATAATGGTGTGTCCCCTCAAGTGGATACAATGTAAGACCCTTTTTTGGAAACGACTTATTACGACAGGACTAAACCTGTTTTGTTGTATTACATAGTTTTTTAACACTTTGAATTATTTGAAGAATTTTTATTCATAATTTTTTTATTAATATTTTAATACAAATTCTATTCAAATAAGGAATTTTCAACCCAAACAATTTAAATATTTTCTTTTAATTGTAAATAATATTTCATTCATTGAAAATATTCCTTTGTTAATTGATTTTTTATATTCATA